GTATGACTGCTAGATTCAATAAAGACTGCAAACCTGTTGTAAGTTCTGTCCTAAAGGGATGAAGTCCAATTTTTAATAGATGCTAATTTTTCCTATTGTTTCTAAATGCTAGAGCAAAAGACTGGTTATTTTATACTGTTATATTTCTTTTACTTCACACAGCACCTTTGTTATAGATAGCTGTGATTGAATTAAATCTCAAGACAGAAACTTATGACTTTCATCACTCACTCTGATTTTAATTTCCTCTCTAAGAGACATGGGCAATATATATGTTCATGATGTCCAAATAAACCTCTTTCATGGTCTTCAGTGATAAAACAGGAAATATAAGACACACCTTTTTCTTCTTTCTTTCAACCTTCAACAGGTGGGTACAGATAACTTAAAGATGCCATTCTAGAGACTATATAGATCTGCTTACAGTCATTTTAACCATAGTTGGATATCTTTCTGTGAAGGCTCAAATTGTTGCAGGAGAGAGGAAAGACATTCAGCAAGAAGCAGTTGTTTATTAGTGCAAGCCCTGGCAAACTGTATTTGCATCCAAAGGCTGAGCCCCAAGTGCAGCTGAGCATTGTCTTATAAAACTCTTGTTAGTTCCTCTATACTTGCTGGCTCTTTGTCTCCTATATAAGGTAATACACATTCTGCTTGAGCATTCTATTTCTGTAGTACAGAGTGGCAATAGTGTTACAATAGCATTGTGAAATGTGCACGTTGATATTGATGGTACCATATTCTTTCCTTTGTTCTAAGAAAGTCCCTGCCACAAAATCTTAACCTGTGGCTCAAAAATGTTTAAGAACCACTGGCTTCCCTGAGTATTGGTGGAGTGGGGTAAAAGGAAATATGTGTTTGTTCTTCCAGATTTTGACATCACAAAGGAGAAGAAACTCAGATAGGATGAATTATTTGGCAGAATTTTGTGCAGATACTTCGACCACAGAAAGTGTATAATCATCCTCTCTTCTCAACAGAAATCTGAACCTAACTGTGAGATAGAATTAAATGTCTACCCCCTATATTTAATTTTAATGCATGCAGTTCTAAAATTGTTATTTATTATTTCATTCCTTTATCGTACTTATCCATATTAGGAGTTTTGTCAATGTAAGACAGTATTAAATAAGCATTTAGATATTGAGCTGAGTTTTTTCCAAAGACCATTTGGATACTTCCTAAGAAAATTAAAAAATTCAATCATTATCTTACTAATGATTGAATGAATCATTCAAACACTTGATGAGTGAAAGTGGTGTATGCTAAGTGCTTCATTATCTAGATATTGAATTCAACAGAAATTATTAAGATCATTAGAAGATACAAATATAGAAAAATAGGTAAAGAAACAAGTGGAATGAAGAAATATTTGGGGAAAACCTATGGAAGTAATTAGATTGTACTGAAGCTTCAATGGATCATGACTTTGTAAATTTACTGCCCTTCTACTCTTTCCTATGATATAGTTTGTCTTAAGACAAAATAAACAACCAAAATGTACGTATTGAGTACTCTTTGAATTGACTAAAAATATTAGCAACATCTTATTCTTTGAACGACATAAAAGGAATGAACAAATAGAACTATTTGGCACTACTTCATCCACTACTTTATTTTGAAAGATACACTATACAAAAGAATCATAATACTGATTTTTAAAATAATATGTTAAAATCAAGGTGTGCTAATGTTGCTAAAATGGCTATACATGACTTTAACACTACTAGT